AACCTAAGTTGACCCTCTTCAATCTCAAACCCATTCTCACCATTTCATATCACCTTACATCTCCTTGAATACTCCTTACTATCTTCTAACAGTAGCCTGACCATTGGTGAAATATCTGAAATTCAAGTTTCAATAAATTTCCTTATCTCTACATACCTAGTCATAATCTTGTGTCTAATCTCCTCTAACATGCTAATGACTGACTTGTGTCTAGGCCCCAATATCCAAGAATTGAAAGTTTCAGACATGTTATTCTCTACTACATGACATTTAGCATGCTCAGTGAAATATGTCATACACCAATACTCTTTATCATAGCACAACAAATCTTCACAAATGTCCTTCCCTAACATGCTTAAAACTACTAACTCTTTTTTAAATTTTACCTCAAATGATGACTTTGCACATCTCTAGAATTATTTTCTCCTCTTCTCTCCTTTCCACTTCTTAGACCAGTTGGACCAAATATGCCTGGCACACATCCTGTGTTCAGCACATGGCATCAACTCATTAATGGCTCGTACAAGCCCCTGTAAAACAGAATGAAGTTGAATCAAAATATACATAAGCAATTTAAATCAACAAGTAGTAAATACAGGTAATAAGATACCTACTGCATGTCTGATATGACAGTTAATTCCTCTCCATTACCCAGTTCCAGATCTGCAATTAGATGCTCTATGAACCAACTCTAAGAATGTTTGGTCTCTTGGTCTACAACTGCACATGCTATTGGATATATTTGCTGATTGACATTCTTCTCTATTGCTATTAGCAGTTCACCTTTACAAGCACCTTTTAAGAAGAACTATCAAAGCCTATAATCCTCCTACACCCTTCCATCCAACCCTTCTTTAAAGCATCAAAACAGACATAAAAATACATAAATAGATTCTTTCCAGGTGTTGTTTCTGTGTCAGTTCTAATCCAACATGAGTTCCCAGGATTTGTTTGCTTTATCATTTCAGCATAATCACAAAGTCTTGAAAACTCTAAATTCCAATCACCCATAAACTGCCTTATTACTCTCATTTTAGCCATGTAACATACTGATCTACCAATATATAAGCCCAATTTGTCTCTAACCAATTCTTGAATTTCTAGAATTGTAATAGATGTGATTTTGTCCTTAAACTTGTTAGCAATAAACTTGGAAGTGCACATTTTATTTTTATTATATGTTGGACATTTATGGACAGGCTAATAAGTCTTTACCGTAAAGTCTCCTGTATTTTTTGTCTTCGCTAGCATACAATAACCATTTGCATCTCTTGCACTTGCACTTCACTCTAACTCTCTTACTATCATTAAGTCTCAATTTTAACTGAACTTTGTACTCAACTGCATATTTAGCTACAACCTCTCTAAATTTCTTAGTATTTTCAAATACCATATCAAGCTCAAATATAGCTAATACACAATTTGGATCATACCTAACCTTGTTACTTTTCTTTCTTCTAGGTAAATCAACCCCAGGTTCAGCAGCAGGATCTAACTCATCTTCACTATCATCACTACCAACATCTGAACTATCAATATAGTCCTCATCACCAGCTAGCTTACCAACATACCTCGCAGCCTTGTTCCTTCCAATGTCCTAAAACCCTCTATCTATACCAGCTTCCCCTAAAATGATTTCCTCAGGCATTGCAGCTTTCTTTCTTTTCTACACATCATTAGTGTTGGCAACCTTGGCAGCCTTCTTAGTTCTCTTTTCATCCCTGATAGCCCTCAATTCATCATTAGCATCACTGTCATCTTCTTCAGGAAGTCCATTTAAATCAGAGTCACTACTTTCAAGCTCAGAATCAGTCCAATCCAGATATGATAAATTATCAACACCAACTGACTGCTGCTCTTGTACCCCTTCCTTTTTTTCCCATTCATCTATTACCACATCTACTAAGTCTTCTATACTAGTAGCCCCATATCCAAGTTCAGGTCCAGATACATTTATTGACCTACCAGTCAAGTATTCAGGCCCAGCAAGTAAGCCCACAACTTCAGGCTCAACAACTACATCTTCATCTATAATATGTTTAATGTATAAGTCCAAATTGTCTCCTGATTTTAAGTCATTCAGAATCTCTAAGAGTTGACAGTCTGTTTTCAAGGTTTTGAACTCTGAACTTTTAAGGTCAAAGTGATAAAAACTACTCACAGGGCATACCCTAAGTCTTTAGCATAAGAATAAAGCTCAATAACTGAAAAGAAGTCTTTATCAATAGAAAATACCACAGGTTCCCTCTTCCCTATATAATTTGGTACACGGTCAGTAGTAAATGTCCCCCCCATGGTGGAATTTAGTGGCTATAAATTCCGACATCAGATAAAGTAATGAAATAGCTAACAAAAAGATAGACAAAGTCACATGCAATGAAGACTTTCAATTTAATTCTAAATTTACGATCAAATATCAAGAATACCCTAAGACGACAAAGAGAGTGAAAAGAGAACTTATGTATCTTGTCTCTTCTCTACGAGCATAGATAATCCACCATCCGAGAACCCCCATTTGAATTTCTCCATCAACAGCCCTAATCAACTTCTGACATCCCTAATTTCACTCTGAATCGGAAATAGAGTAGATGAAAAGGATAAATAGCACGAAATCAAAGGATAACCCTAAACCAAATACTGTAATCAGATAAAAATTTAAGAACAAAATCAAAGAAGAAAGGGTAATCGATTGTGAGTTGAAGAGAGAAGAAGCAAGTTTAGGGTTTTTTAACTGGACGAGATGAACAAAGTAAATTTTGGGAACGGGTAATTTGCATTAGGCCTTTAGCTTAGGAGTAATTTTGATGTGGTAAAAAAAACAGTTGGTATTTGTTGGTTGGTTCGTTTTGACACGTAGGCCGTGTTTTACTTCATGCGCAGGCATTTTTAAAAGGACTAAGTGGGCTAAGTTAAATTGACACATAATTGTGTTATTTAATGTATTTAATAGGTACAGGCCTTGGTCTAGGTAGCCAGATGAAAATATTGGGCAAGTTAAAGTAGTCATATATATATATATATNAATCATAATTATAACTCTATCCATCATAAATTTTATTTTCAAAAAGTAAAAAGTTTGATTTGACATTCCACTTTTAGATCTTTATATTTGCAGAATCATTAGTGGTATTAACTCTTACCAGCCATTTTTCTTTTTCTGTCTTACACGGTTGTATTCTTAAATAATTTCTTAGTTATTCTTTAATAATGAGGTATATTTTTAATATTACACAAAAAATTAATAATAATAAAAATATTATTTGAGTAGAAAAGCAGTTCAACTTCAATATTACACAAGGCTAATGTCTAGAATTCTGATTATGTCCTTTTATTGTGAGTTATTATGGTTAATATTAAAAGGTTATTTTTATAAACCAACACTGTATTCATGCTTTTATAATAATATAGATATAGATATAGATATGTGTATAGTTATGTGTAATCAATGTATATGGCTAGAAAAAATAAACAATAAATATGGTCGGCTATTTGTGTAAAGATCCCTATAAAAAAATACTTTTGAAACTTGTGTCTTAAACTAATATTGTTAATAATATATTAAAAATATTATTTGAATCTTGTGATTTAAACATATCATGTTAATAAAATGAAGATATTAAAATTAAAAGCTTATACAACATATAAAAGATGTTTTTTTTAAAAATAGACGTTAAAGCGTAACTAAATGCGGACCTATATTGCAAAGTGAGGGGTTACTGACACCCAAAAAGTTCACAAATATTATTAATCACACCTTATATACAAATGAGATTTTAATTGAATGTAAGAATGCACCAGCAATCTTGAAATTCTGGTTAGCCCGTAAGTGTAACACACATTGGAAAGAAGGAAGTATACATAATGTATCTTTGACGTCGTTTGTTGCTAAAAATTAACTCGCACATGAAAACATTAAATGCAATATTACTTAAGATATATTTTCACATTTCTTTTAAGGCTAGTACTATTATATTTTTTGAGTCGACTTGATTTTATAAAAGCATTAAGATACGAACAAAAAAGAATCTTTTCTTCGTCTTCCCGATGTACTCGATTTGTACCGTGGATCCAAATGATGTAAATTCTAACTTGTTCATCACGATCTTGGACCACGCCAAATTTAATCTCTTTTTCATTCATTCCTTAATTTTTTGTTCTCTAAGATTTGCGAAGTTCAAAAGTTTGCTTTTTCTGACCTTTTGACATTTTTAATGACAAAGTTAGGGTGTGGGATTCCGAAATCTAACATCAACTTTCCATTAGAATCAGATTCTAATAACTTTTATAGTACAATGTTAAAAGATGTCCAATAAAACAAAATAAACTCAAACTGAGAGAGTCTGTGATGTTTTATCAAAAATGCATATATTTAACCATTATTGTCTCACATTATAACACTTTAATCATCTTTTGAGTATTAATTATATTAATTTATACTTAATATTATATTTTAACTTTATAAGAATAAAGTGGTGTGAAGATGAAGAAATTTGAAGCAAAACTGCTTCTACGGCTCAAAAGTACTTCTCCTCTTCTCCATCTTGGCCAAACAAATAAAATTTCTAAAACAATACTTTTTCTGACAAAAAGAATATTTTTTTCTTCCCAAAAGCTTGGCCAAACTCGAACTAAATGCATAACAATTTCTCAAAAACGCCGGTAGTTCTATTTTTTCTTAAAGCTTTACGTTTTAGGAATATGGAGAAATGGCAACTTCGTAATAATACCGAAATCCAGGACCTATTTAATCCTGCTAACCGTTTTGCCTATATTGATTGCTTAGAGATGTGAAATTAAGGTTCGATTTTAATGCTACTTCACCTTAAGATTTTAAATTGGATATTCAAATTCTTTTACAGATTATGAGGAAATGGGTTCCAATTTCGTTGAACGACACATCATCAAAGTTTATTGAAGGGTATCGATAGTTGTTAGGCATAATTTATCAATCGTGTAAATAATATTTACACTATAAGCATAATTTAAAGATATACACGTACTGAAAAGAAAGTGAAGACTAGTGTATATTTCCTTTATGTGGACCTCAACTATGATTTTTTGGGTTCCAAATATCTCCTTCCAAAAGGTCATTTCCAACACTTGACCACCACAGAGTTTTTACATTGCAATGAAGAAACATTGTTCTTGTTTCCATATTCACATGTTTAAGTACAATCTAATCTGAAGCTGGCGTCATTCGTTCTTGGACTTATATAGCTAGATACACTGGTCTTTTATGTAAGCTCTGAACTGGTCTTGCATTTGCCTCAAATCCCTGTTTTTTCCAAAAAAAAATTTAAAAAAAAAACAAGAAGATTAAAGGAAAACATAACTAAATGAGATTTACTCATAATTGCTTTGCATTTTAAAGTACACTATTAAGACGTAACACGTTAAAATACATCAATAGTATAAAAGAATTTGCATTATTAGTTTATTTAAGTTAACAATAACAACAATCCTGTATAATCCCACTAATGAGGTTTGGGGAGGGTAGTATGTACGCAGACCTTACCTCTACCCTGGGGTAGAGAGGCTGTTTCCGATAGACCCTCGACTCCCTCCCTCCAAGAACTCCCTACCTTGCTCTTGGGGTGATTCGAACTCACAACCTCTTGGTTGGAAGTGGAGGATACTCACCACTAGAGCAACCCACTCTTGTCATATATTATTCATAAACACATCTTATTTCTCAACTTATGCTGTCGAATAATATTTGTTGAAGTTAGGACGTTTAAATGAGAAGTAATACTTACATCATGAACAGCACTTCTATATGCCATCAATTGTTCCATAGAAACAGTCCTCGCCTACATTAGCCAATAAACAGTCAATAATTACAAAAGACCTGCTCTTTTTATTGGATGAAATAACAAAAAATTAAAGGTAAACAAACAAAAACATGTACAAAAGGAAAAGAAGAGGAAGAAAAAGGAAGTTAAAATATAAAAATGCATGGATATATACCTTGTGGAGTACATTCCAAGTGATACCCTCAGTGCAAGGAGGAACTGTGAGTGAACCAATATATCGATAGAAAGGTTCATCGCCGACCCCAAGTTGTTGAGGATGTATCAGTCCCAACTTCAGACCCTTATCATCAACTGTCTCAATGTGATGCATTAACTGGTAATTAAAAGAGACTAATTTTAGAATAATTTCATGTTACGTACTAAAGTATTGTTCTCTTCACCTTTTCCTTCATGCAACTTGTGGTAATAGTGAAATGAATTTAAACAACATATATCCACATAGTATAATTAGGTTAGGATATGAAATAGATCGAAGAATACAAATTAAATGGTTTGGATCATTACCTCCTCAAAGAAAGGGTTAGGGCTTCCAATTTTGAAAGGTATTGCAACCACAGCTATTTTCCCATCACCACTCTGATGAACCATGTGGGCCTCCATTGCAAAGCTGCAAACATCAAATTAAGGTCGAAAAAGTTATTTAATTTACTTTGGACAAAAAAAATCATCAATATAATGCCTTCTTATTTTAAATCGAATTTGATTTGACTAAAATGTTAGACCAAATGGAATTGATAACTTAGTATAATAAGACAGAAAGGGAACACCAGATATATCTATACACAAACCATTTGTTATTAAGTTTGTGCTCAGAAGGAGTATGCCAGTGACATTGCTGTAATTTATACTCAGTACCATCAATATTGATATACCCTGCATCTCCTTCCCACTGCAACTGCGAAAATTAATGACTCACCATTAGTTGGATTCATTGAAACTGTATAATTACAGGCAAATCCACTATTACTATTATAACCTGGTAAGAATTGTAACCAATTTGCCAATGCTAAATTATACTACTGATAACGTAAAATAAATTTATATTGTCAGTATATATACCTTGATATCATGACCTCTGTTAATAATAATAGCAGGTGCGATTTTATATTTTGGTTTCAAATGTTGGAGAGCAGTGGTAACCGTCACAGTTTTGTTACGGATATTAACCGGAGACTGAAATTTGCCAGTAGTACATAGTTTCCATTCTGGTTTAAGGTTACCCCAATTCTCTGGTCCTTCGTTAGTTCCCAACAGGTAAGTGAATTTTGACTCATCATCTGTTATTCACGTGTTTGACACAGAAAAGAAAAAATAATAGTAATCATTTATATATACAAGATTAATCGGAGAAGAAGAAGAAATAAATATCATTGCAGAATTAAAAAAAAAAACATTTTGTTTTGTTTCTCTTGTTGAACATAATCCAGCCACCTTGGTTTGGACTTTGGTATGTCCTTTTTATTGAAAAATAAAAACTATGTCAACTAGTAAATGAAATATCAACGAGAAGGAAAATGTTCGAGCATTTCATCCGATCATCTCCACCACAACAAAGTTCAATATCAGAAAATATGATTAAAGCATATAAATTAAAGTACTACTATGTCATTATTTGTCATGCACTATATGAAAAACTTATAGGCTATATTTAGATTCAAACTCATAGCAAACCTTAATTAGTCCTACACTTCTATTGTATTTATATCAGTTTTGATGAACAGAGTTACCCGATAGTATAACAACGTTGTTGAGCATGATAAAACAAAACCAAACACATAAAAAGGTGAAAGTAGATATGAGAAAGGGATTAAAAGAAGATAAATTATACCAACTTCATTATCATCATGAGCAGTGCAAAAGGTCTGTGATGAAAGAAACAGAAATGCAAACACAACTGGGACGAAACTTGGCTTAGCCATGATTTAATTTGTGGTTGCACTAGGATTCTCAGCCACTATGCGGCGGCGTTTCACGGTGGCAATGGTGTTGCTGGAGGCCCTTTTTTTAAAATTAGGGTTAATATACAAAAGGTGCCAGCTTTTCCGGCAAGTCAGCAGCTAAAAAATGGAAGGAAAAAAAAAATGAACTTTATATAGAAGATTGGTGCGTTATTAATTAAAGACCTCTAGATTTGTGGGGATATGAGGAATTAAAACAGCGAATTAAACGGGGGTGCAGTGATGAAGAATTGAATTACAATAGTAGAAAATAAAAAGACCTCTACATTTTGACAAGACTAACGCTTCACCATTGGATAATATTTATTCAGTTACACAATTAAAACCTTTCCTAGTATTAGTAAGCATAAGCATCCAGAAAAATATCTTTTTATCAAGAGAAATCTTACCTCCCTGTTGCAAGATCCTCTGATTATTTTTATGCTCAATCAGACAATTTTTCAGGAATATGATCAGAATCAGACTATAATATATCGTAACCAAAAATAGTACTGTAACAAAGATATTTTCAAAAGCAACTAAGTAATACTCACTAATTATAGAATCATGTTAAACATATTTAAATATAACTGTTAATATTATCATGTACGCATAATTTAGATTTAAATGTACAAGAGGAAAATATTATATCACTAACGAAAATAAAACTATATAGCATAGAGATGGGAAATATTATCATATTTTTCATTATTAATAACCAAATTTTAATATATAAAGTGTTAAAATCAGTTCTCGAAATTATTAAATACGGTCAATCAAAAGAAATTTTGATTTATTATCAAAAAGTTTGTACTTAAGAATGCGAGAATTATCATGATAACCAAGAAGGAACAAAGTTATTAATACAAATTCTTGACTTCGCTGCAACTAATGGCGTGCTCAAGTCGCTACTGAAGTAATTCGAAATTATCGAAAAGATCAGAGTTTAAATTTGCATATATCGGATAAAATGGTCAATATACGCACAAGCTAATTTTTTATTATCACCCTAACATGACTGTTTACCCTCAAAATCGGATAACAGTTGAATTTGTTAGCGGTTATAAGGATGTGTGGATTAAATTGATACAAAGTGATAAATTAGATTGGAATTGAAATAAATGGCGATAAAATAACTGTAAACCAGAAGAATTGGATGATTTTAGTTTAAGAATGCAAGCCACCCTTGAGTCGAATATACTTTTATTGACAGAAAAATATCAAAGAGTAGGAGCTTGGGGGATATATTGTTTATAGTAGATGTTACCATGCCTTTAATTGATTGTCCAAGTCTCTTTTATATATTGAGGGAGACCTACCCTTTAGGGTATTATTTAATTGTTCTACAAAAGGCAAAAGTCCTTGATTTGTTGACCGTTGGTTCCCTTTTTGAGCAGTTCCGTAATTTTTGCCACAATGATTAGTTAATGGCGAGAATTACGAACCCCTATCGAATGAGCTGGCAAAACTTTCTTCGAGACTGTTAGAAACAGGACCGGTCACGCTTTCGGCAACCTCGAGGGCAAATGTGATGGTTTCGATGGCTAATTCTGATAGCGCTTTGGGTTCGACTGTAATTACCACGTGCCGATCTTGGTTGGTGGAATTAGTCGTCAGATCGATCTTTGAGCTCGACTTCACTCGATCACAGATATTTTGGCCCTGGCCTAATCAAGGAGTTCAGAAGTTCGATCGAATATCGAGCTCAGTTTTACCCGTATACAGATAGTTCCCTCATTTTTCGGAGAGTAGATGGCGAGAAACGATATGAGCCTCAGATTCTCACTTCGATATATCATGACGCAAGTGACAAAAATATGACGTCAAAATCCCCTTATTTTTCGGAGAGTAGATGGCGAGAAACGATATGAGCCTCAGATTCTCACTTCGATATATCATGACGCAAGTGACAAAAATATGACGTCAAAATCCCCTTATTTTTCGGAGAGTAAATGATGGGAAACGATTCGAGCTTTCGATTCTTACTTCGATAAAACATGACGATGAAGTCATGACGTAAGTGATAAGAACAATGGAAATATCCCGCCGGTCCAGTATTCGAGGCATTAAATGTGTGTCAGTCAACGGTCGGTCATTTTGGGATGTGAACCGCATTGATGTGAACCGCCGTTTGGGAACACTATAAATACCCTTCAATCCATTCATTAGAACTTTTTCCATTCCAACTCTTGCTCTAGCGTTTTAAGAGAACTTCATCATCTTCATCTTCTCGTTTTCTGGTTTTAAGCTTAAGAACTTACTTCCTTGTGAGTTCTTTGAAATTTCTTCATAAGTTACCTGCTAGTTACAGCTTCTCTTTTACCAACATCTTCTTCTTTCCTCTATTTAGGAAAAATGGTAAAGACTTCAAAATCTATTCCTCAAAAAGAAATCCCTTCTTCCTCGAAACCATCGGAAAATGTTTCACCTGCTGCAACTGAGGAACCTACACCGGAACCCCCTCTAAAGTCATTTGTCACTTCAAGATCGAGAACACCCCTTGGTATCGGGTCGGTGCGAGCCGGTCTCGAGGTACATATGCACTTATCATTGACGGCATCCTCGATAAGGTCAAAGAGGACTGCCACTAGGAAGATAAAATCGTTGTGATCCCTACCCCCGATGAATCGATCACCACCTACGTGGAGGGTTTTCTAAGTGTTTATACTTACCCTTTCACGCTTGGTCCCTTAGACCCAGTCATCATAGCCTTTTGTAAAAGGTACAAGGTAACTCTTGAGTAGATTCACCCCTCGTTCGGGAGGATTGTTATTCTTCTGCATTTCTTCGTGAACAAAATTGAGGGGTGCCCATTTACTATCGACCACCTCATGCGCCTGTATAACCATCGACTTTATCAAGGGGGATTAATCAAGCTCGCACGTCGAGCCACGAAGGCCATATTTTCGAGCATCGACGAGGATCGAGACCGGGGCTGGTTGGGACGATTTGTTTGAGTCAGGACCTCGGACTTAATCCCGGCTGCGGATATGCCATTTTCTGAGAAATGGAATATGAAACGTAAGTGTAATTTTACCTTCAAGATTTCTTTTATTGCTTTTCTTTTCCCTCCCTTCTTATCGATGTCATGTGATGATGCAACTGCTGCCCAGATGCCGGATGCCATTCCTCGACTCAAAGAGTGGGTCGAGGGCATTATGACACACAGACCATATTCCGTGCGCTTATGGTGTGAGCTCTCGAAGGGTCGATGGGAGGCCCGTAATCATGGTGAGAATTTCGTCTCTAAGTTATATTTGATCTTACTTTCATATCATCGATTTTTGAATTGTTTTATTTTCTCTTTGTAGGTCTATGGAAAGACGTCAAAATGAGGCCTCCATCAGCCGATGACGACATATACACTGATCCCCCTGCTCCGAAGCAGGATAAAGAAAAGAAAAGGAAAAAGGCTCCAATTTCCCCGGCCCCTAAGAAGAAAACACCGAGGAAGCGGTTGGCGTGCAAACCTAAGAATGTCAGTGCCCGAGGACTCTCACCGGACTCACTCCAACGGTTGGGGGATGAGTCTAAAGAAGAAGAAGATTCTGAGTTGGTGGCCCGCGTGAGAAGCGGTTCCGAAATGCCTCAATCTATGGAGGCCGTAGAAGAAGATGTGGCTAAAGTTTCTGAGCCAGGGAGGATCGAGACCGATTTTCCCCGAGCCAGCAAGGTCGAAAAAGAAACTGTGATTGGTACATCTCGGTCAGAATATAATGTGCCTAAGGAGGCGTTCGGGGTGATTGATCTCTCTAGGTCGCCTTCATTTACCAATTCTATGATAAACGAGGCTCAGGCGTTGAAAGGTAACCTCGGCGAAGGGGCCCAAGCAGCAGCCGATTCTTTTCACAATTTCTTCGATGGCCTGAACTCTACTACTTCGGAGGATGTCACCGGATTAGGTGACTTACCGGTACCAAAGAAGATACCGTCACCGGGAGCTGGCGGGTCTTCTTCGAGCCCAAAATTAGTGAATCAGTTCCCAGCTCCGAGTGTTCATCCTATTCGGAGATGAGCAATTTATATGTCCATTCCGGAGGATGGCCGAGCTCTCTCTGCCCCGGTGGGGATTGTCAGTTATCTTTGATGCTTGGTGACTAAATAGGATCAAGCTAGAATGAACGAGGTGGAAGCGCCCTACTTGTTCAACGAAGCTCAACAGGTGCTGAATCAGGTAATTTCGAATGTCACTTCATTATGTACTTAGATTTAATCATGAATACTCGTAACATTCTCATTTGTGCTAGCAGGCCTCGGTGCTTCATCACGAGGACTTTCTCCGATATCGGGAGGAATTCAAGCGTCACGAGGCCGTGACTCGGGAACTTATTGAGAAGAAGGATGCTTACAAGCTCCTTAGTGAGAAACTCCAGGCCGAGTTAGAAGCGGCTCGAAAAGAGCATTCTGGTCTGGTCGAGTAGGTAAGACGAATATTTGAACTTAGTGATGATGATTCAGACACATTGGCTAACGACCCGAACCCACAAGTTCAAAAAAGACTTGACCAGATCGAGCAGCTCCAGGTGGAGGTGGACACGGTGAAGGTTGAGGCCGAAGAATGGAAGAAAAATATGGATCGCTTGGCCTCGGAAAAAGAGACTGCTCGGGCATAGTTGGCTTCGGCTGAGGCTCAACTTTGGGCTATAAAGGAGAAGTACTCTGTGCAAGCCCAAAAGATCGAGGGACTCCAATCTCAGCTAAACTCGGCTATTTCTGATCAAGAGAATTTGGCCAAGGAGCTCGAGGTGGCCAAGTCAGAGATTTTCGTGGCCAAGACCGAGGCTGATGAAAAACTGGCCCAATTCAAGGCCGATGCCGAGGCCATTCAGGAACAAGCGAGACACATGGTAAAGCATGCGAGGTGGAAATCCTGAAGGGAGGCCCTCGAGGGAATCCATGCTTAGAGTTTTGATATATTGGCTGAAATTGAGAATGCCAAGATCTACGAAGCCAAGGCCCAGAAGTTGGCTTATCCCGAGGAGGATTCCGAGAGGTCTGAAGGGTCCGGTGGGTCCGATGGTGGCGAAGACCCTGTAGGCGATGATGTAGCCCTCGATGTAGATTAGGCCATTTAGGACCTTTTTGCTTTTTGTACAATCTTTTTGTTAAGGTCGTTCGACCTTTGTAAAAAATACGT